GTAGCCTCCGCATTGAAGATCATCTCAACTCTCAGTCCTTCATAAGGTCCCTACCTTATCCCTAGGATGGATAAACAAAAATAATTTTGGGATAAAAATTTAATATCGCATCCCTTATTTGGTTACTAATTTTGGGATAAGTTATCTCAGGATAAAATAGTACTATAATAACTTATACCTGCCAAAGGATGGAATAGTAATTCCAAAATAAGTTATCGAGAATCAGGGGCGGCTCTATAGGCAATCCTGCACACTCCAACCATTCAGGTCTATGGCCATCGAGAGCATCCCACGTTAACTTACTTTGTCTTGCTTTCCGGCTCGAAATTCTTATCCAAAAAAAGGGATTGAGTCTACGGATGCATATATTTCAGTAAGCAAACCAAGGGGCTCGGCGGCCCCAATGGCAAGGCTAGATCCAGATCCCCCATAGCCTGTTCAGCATGAGAAATGGCTGGCGGAGCATCAGGATTTCCTTGATCCATTCTCAAGATCTCAGGTGCCCCTACCAACTCGCTTTCGGTGACATTATTAGGCTCCCAAAATTTGAAAGCCCCAAATTTATTTTAAATTCTTCTTCTTATTATTATTACTATATATTATATAAATTATATAATAATTAATATAAAGAAAAGTATTACAATATATTTTTTTTGTTATTTGATTGGGGTTATTTTATATTAATAAATTTTGATAATTTTCTTTATTGATTAATAAGCATATTTGCTTCAGTCTTCAATTTTAATTTTATCCTTTTTATATAGAAATTAAGTTATATATATCGGTAACGTAATGAATTTCTTTTACCGTTCTCTCAAACTGCATGAACACAAAAACATTCATGCACCCGTTTTCTTTTAGTGCAATTCGACATACTATATTAGGTTGTTTATAATTTATTTTAGATATTCACCAATAAGGGATACTTAATAGAATGAACTACAATTATCATTTAACGTCAACATAAGGGTTAAGTATTTTTGACACCGTTAATGCTCAAAGCTTAAGCTATTACATTATATACTTTTAGCATTCATGGCCTGCCGTTACACCTTCATCAATGACCCCCTTTATTGCCATTTAAGAGCGGTTGATCCTAGGATATTGTTTCCTAAGTATGACTATAAATAGTGATTTCAACAACCATCAGGGACACGAAATCTCTGATAGAACTTATGCTATACTTTATTCTCAAGCTGAAGAATACAACTTTACTTTCTGTCTGATATTGCTCCGACTTCTGTCCCTGGAAGCATTATTCCCGGAGTTAGGCTTGCCATTTCCTTTGATTTTAACGAATATTATTTTTAATTTAATTTAATTTATTTATTATTTTGGATCAAATCAGTTCGCTTATCTATAAACCACGCAATAAATTCAATTGTACTGTTTTACAGGTAAATAGTTTGGCGCCCACCATGAGGCTTAGATAATTGCGTAATTAAGTTGATCCTTGCATCTATTACTAACCTATTTGATTTTTTATTTCATAGCAAAAATCGAAAATGAAAGCTAGCGATGTCAACATCGCACATAACGTTGAAGCACACGAACATCTGCCTCAACACGAGGATTCAATCAGTGACACCCACAACGAGGGGGGACGTTGCAACTCCGGTCCATGGCAGAGAATATCCCTAACATGTGCGGGTGCCAACTCCCGATGATGCGGAGGACGAACACATTGCGGAAAGAGTAAGGATCTTAAGAGAGCAACAAAAAACCATCATGGACCATCTCTCAAGGTAGGACCAAGTCATGATAGAATTGAAGCAGGCAATATTAGGTGCTTCCAACAATGCAAAAGGAAGAGGCCCAGTTCCTCCCAACTCTCCTTTAAATCAAACGGCTCAAAGAGTAGATAATAACGCCCCGATGAGAGAGGTTGGTTTCGACATAACCAGGGGTACTGATAGCAAATCCGGTAATAACAACGGTAATGATGCCTTCAAAATTGAACTCATGAGATTCATGAGGGCGATGAACAAGCAGATGGATCAGAACACGAAGGAGTTTCGCGCTCGAATGGACCAGATTTCGGGCACAACACCAGTGTTGAAGGGCCAAGATTCGAAGAAGTACACCCATTTACTATTTAAGCCGATCAAAACACCGGAATTGATTCCAAAAATGGTTCAAAATGCCAGACATTCTGATGTACGATGGGACTTCAGGCCACCCTCAAGAGCACATCACAATTTATACAATGGAAGTGAAAGGAAACGACTTGGCTCAACATGAGATTGAACAAATTCAGAGAAACCCTCACGAAAAGGGCATTGACATGGTATTCACTCATACCTCAACACTCAATAGATTCTTTTGAAATGGTTGCAGATTATTTCATTAAGGCCCATGCCGGGGTTAGGAAGGTCTAGGCTCGGTAGGCGAACATATTTAGAATTATTCAAGGAGGGTTCGAATTTCTGCGTTATCAGGTTCCAAAAAAGAAAAGATGTTGTTACCGCCCGTACTAGATAAATGGGCATCAGAGGCATTCACTAAGGGTCTGAACTCGAGAAGCCTCGATGCCTCCCAAAAGTTGAAGGAAAGCCTGCTCGAATTCTAGGCGGCCACATGGGCAGATGTCCATAACCACTATGAGTCGAAGATAAGGATAGAAGATTATTATATCGGGTTCCCGACATCAACCAAGGGGTGGGACCGAGACAAGAGCTAGGATAAGGTCAAGGATGATTTTGATGTAGACCAACGAGCATCCAAAGGTCGCTTATTGCCTTACGATAGAGCCGAGGGACGTGGTAGTAAAGGGTTCTGGTCCTCAGATAGGTTCGCTCTCGAAAGCAAAACTGACCATGGCTGAACCAACCGATCGTTGCAAGACAAAAAGGTATCGGGGTCATTGTATTCCACTTATCATAGGTTGTTAGAGTACAATTTCAAGTTTAGCTTCGTGGAGTTGGTATCGGCAATGAGGAATATCAAAGAGGCACAATTCCTAAAACCAATAAGATTCGATCCCAACCAAAATGGTCCTAACTTATGGTGCAAATATCATGGGACTCATGGCCACCGAACTGAGGACTGTCGGCATTTGAGCGAGGAGGTGGCAACGATGTTGAAGAACATCAATATCAGGGAGTTCTTGAGCAATCGATCCAAAAATAACTACGGCTGCAACCAAGATAACGCAGAGCCCTCGAAGATAGGGGAAGACCCTCTTCAGTTGACTATCAACATGATTTTTGGAGGGACTAAAATCAATAGTGTAACATTCTCGGTGGCCAAGAATACAAAAGTATTGGTGACCCATAACAAGAGACTCTAAAAAATTGCCGAGACGGCATCACCTTAACAACAGACTTCTCGTGCCATATAATGAAGCCATGGTATTTCTCTTAATGTTCTAGATTTTATGATTAAACGTGTTTTGGTTGACCCAGGAAGCTCAACCAACATCTTTTAATGGAGAGTATTGGAACAAACCAAGTTAACCGGAAGCATCATTCCGATAGCAAAGCTCCTCACCGGGTTCAATCTGGAAAGTGTGACAACCCGATAGGAGATCTTTCTGCCCACAAACATTGAAGGGGGTCACCAAGACCACCTTATTTAAAGTGGGGGACAGTGACATGAGCTACAACATAATCATTTGTAGACCATTATTACATGAGATAAATGCTGTACCATCACCATATCACCAACTGCTAAAATTAGCGACCCTATAAGGAATCAAACAGATAAAAGTAGATCAACCGGAAGAAAAGGAAACGAACGCAATGTCAATTTCAAGTAGTAGGGGGAAAGGATCCAATAAATAGCAATTACAGGAACCAACGCCTACTCCCGAGCCAAGCGAAGATGATAAGGATGTGAGGTCGTCGGAATCCCACCAGGTACCAAGATACTTTCAGGTACCGGAAGAGGCAGACATAACCAAGTCCACGACAGAAGAACTCGAACAAGTAGCTTTGTTTGAGGAATTCCTAGAGAGAAAATTTCACTTGGGAACAAGACTCAACCCTGAGCTCAAGTCAGGATTTATTGATTTTTGTAAAACTATCGTTGGTTGTTTTTTATGGTCGCACTTGAATATGATAGGTATCCCGCTAGAGATGGTCATGTATAAGCTAAGCCTGGACCTAAGCATCCCTCTGGTGAGGCAAACAAAATGCCCGATATTCGAGGTCAAAAATAGGTTTATTAAGGAAGAAGTAACTCGATTACTTAACATCGGTTTAATCCGGGAGATAAAGTATCCCACCTAGCTAGCTAATGTAGTTGTAGTTCCTAAAAGAATAATAGATTTTGAATGTGCGTAGAATACAAAGACTTGAAAAAGGCATGCCCAAAAGACTCATTCCCACTGCCAAATATTGGTTAAATGATTGATGCAATGGCCGGACACGAGTTAATGAGTTTTTTTTGATGCCTATTCTGGGTACAATCAAATTAATATGAGCTTGAAGGATCAGGAAAAGACTTCGTTCATAACAACCTTTGGCACATATTGCTATAAAGTGATGCCCTTCGGGCTTAAAAACGCTGGAGCCACCTATCAGAGGCTCTTAAACAAGATGTTTGGGAAACAAATAGGTAAAACAAGGGAATTCCACATAGATGACATGTTGGTCAAGTCTTTGAATGCAGGTGACCATTTAAAACACCTCTTGGAAACCTTCGATATGCTGAGGAAGCACAACATGAAACTCAAGCCCGAAATATGAGCGTTTGGGGTTAACTCCGCTAAGTTCTTGGGTTTCACAAAGGGGAATCAAGGTAAATCCCAATAATATCAAAGCCATCAAGGACATACCAGACCATCTGACAAGTGTGAAAGAAGTCCAAAGGCTAACCAGAAGATTGGCCTCTCTAAGCAGGTTCATCTCTTGATCCTTGGAAAAATGTCATCACTTTTTATCACTTCTGAAGAACAAGAACAATTTGGAATAGACTCCATAATGTCAACATACCTTAAAAGTCCTAAACATTACCTATCAAGCCCCTTGTTACTATCAAATTCAGGCAAAAATGAATAGATGCTAATATACTTACCGGTCTCTGAGGTAGTAGTTAGTGCTGTTCTAGTCCGGGAGGATGAAGGTACGCAATCTCCTGTCTATTATGTTAGCAAAATTTTGTCAAGAGGAGAAACTCATTATCCGTACCTCAAAAAACTGGCCTTAGCTCTCGTAGTCACCTCTAAAAAACATAGGCCTTATTTTCAGTGCCACCCCGTAGCTGTCGTGACAACCTTTCCCCTGTGGAATGTCCTTCACAAACTTGAGTTGTCAAGTCGGTTGGCCAAATGGGAAGTTGAAATTAACGAGTTTGATATTAAATATAAGCCCAGGACTGTGATCAAATCGCAAGTTCTGGCCGACTTTATGGCAGATTTCAGTCTTGGGTTACTTACTGCCTTTGGCTGCAAAAGAAGCAGTGATGGTGTCAGAAATGACATAAAGAGTTCGAACCTTGTTCATAGACGGAGCTTCCAATATGAAATGGCCTGGGCTCGAGGTGGTTCTAATCACCCATTCGGGGGAGACCTTGTGGCATGCCATAAAAATTGTTCCTTTAACTAGCAATAAAACCGAGTATGAGACATTGATTGCAGGACTCGAACGGACCCAAGGACTTGGCCTCTTTTGGTCATAGAGATCAAATGTGATTCACTGCTGGTAGTAAACTTAGTAAATGCGATCTTTGACACAAATGAGGAACGCATGCAACAATATGTGATTAAAGTTCAAACTTTGCTCACACGGTTCAAGGAGAGGTCGATCACCCACATCCCAAGAGAAGAAATTATAGAAGCAGATGCATTGACCAATTTGGGGTCTTCTACAGAGATGAAAGGATCCGACTCTAGCACTGTCATTCACTTTATGCATTCGGTGCTGGATGTGGACAACTATTGTGAAGTAAATACAACCAACCTAGCCTGGGATTGTAGGAATGAGTTCATCGAGTATCTTTGGCATGACAAGTTGCCTGAAGACCTGAAGACGTTCCAGGCACTAAACACCAAAATGGCTCGCTATAGCCTCTTGGGTGGACAATTGTATAGAAGATCTTTCCAAGGCCCTTTGGTCCGATGTCTAGGAGCCTTAGAAGCGGACTATGTAATTAGAGAGGTCCATGAAGGAATTTGTGCGATTCACTCCGGGGCAAATTCGTTGGTGCTAAAACTGGCTAGGGTAGGATACTATTGGCCCTTGATAGAACAATATGCAAAGGCATTCGTTCAGAAATGCGACAAGTATTAGCGCCATGCACAGTTGGCGCACAAACTGGCAGAACTCTTGCATTCGATACTATCCCCATGGCCATTCATGAAATAGGGGATGAATATAGTTAGGCCGCTGCCACCGGGTCCCAGGAAGGTAATATTTCTTTCAATTTTAAGTGATTACTTCACTAAATAGGTTGAACCAGTCCTTACCAAAAGATCGGTACGCGCGAAGTGGTCGACTTCCTCTTGGAAAACATAATTTGTCGGTTTAGAATACCGAAGGAGATTGCTTGTGATAAAAGGCCACAATTCATAGGTTCAAGAGTGACAAAATTTCTTGAACACTTGAAGATCAAAAGGATAACATCTTTACCATACCATCCAAGCACTGATGGGCAGGCGGAATCGACCAATAAGGTGATCATTCAAAACCTCAAAAAGAGCTTAGAAGCGGCTAAAGGCAAGTGGCCCGAAGAGTTACCGGGCGTGCTATGGGTGTAACTGATAAAGGCAAAATCAAATATGGGAGAGACACCTTTCTCTATCATATATGGTGCAGAAGTTCTGATCCTGGTAGAAGTGGGAGAAATGACATTATGATTCTTCCGAACGGACAAGTAAGCGAATAATGAGGCATTGTTGGTCAAGATAGAATTGCTTGATGAACACAGGGGCTTGGCACACATAAGAATGATTGCTCAGAAGTAGAGGTACTATAGGAAAGGTACTATAACTGAAGGACCAATATCGACTACTTTGAAGTAGAAGACTTGGTTTTGAGGAAATTCACTTAGAATAGTTGACAAATCAACGCAGGGAAGCTAGGTCCAACGTGCGAGGATCAATATGGAGTCAAATTGCCTACCGGTTTCAGCTGTCATTGGTAAAGGTTCACACGAGCAGGAGGATTAAGATGAAGTCAAATTGCCTAGCAACTGGAACGTGACTAACCTCAAGAGGTACTTCTACTGATGGATCCTGCCTATACTGAAAGTATGTGCTGCACTCTTTTCCTTTCATCTAGTTTTGTCCCAATAGGATTTTTCTGGCAAGGTTTTTAATGAGGCAACAATGAAAAGCATACTACGAAGGGAGTATCATTAGCAAAGTTAAGACATTTAAATGACAAGGCGTTGAAACAACAAGCCACTATGGGATGGTTAGATAATCTTTGGCTCGATGGAAAAGTTCCTAATAGGAAACGAAGATTGCCATCGAACCAAAGATTATCCAATCGTTCACAAGTGCTTTTCCTCAAAGGAGCAAGACTTCCAGTGTTCCAATTCGCATACTTCACATTCAAACACTGGGGGAGGGGGATAGTATGAGAATACGACAACATGATTTCCACGATAATCGAGACTACGAGTCTCGGGAACAATAATGTCTCATCTGGATCGGGGACTGCTGTCACGACCCAAAACTCAACCTGTCGTGATGGCGCCTATCGTGGAACTAGAACAACCTCAACTCAACGTAATACAACAACACAATACTAAAATTTAGAAGATTTGCGGAAAAAAATCTTTTATCGTTAAAATAACTTATTTAAAAATATAAGGAAAAATTCATAATACGATACAACCGGCCCAAAACCAGGGTGTCACGGAGTATATGAGCGTCTAGAGAAATAGCATAGTCTACTACAATGTTCACTGAATACAACTGAAACACGACTAGAATAGAGAAGGATGGTTGAGGCTTGCGAACACCATGCAGATACCTCAACAATCACCAAAGCCTGCAACCTCGATCAATGACTGCCACTGGGACCGAAAGTACCTAGATCTGCACACAAGGTGCAGAGGGTAACGTGAGTGCACCAACGCAGTGAGTGTCATGACCCCAGTTTGCCCTCCATGAACTGTCGTGACGACACCTAGTCTCTACGACTAGGTAAGCCTAACAAATGCGGAAAATAAACAAAACTTGCAGAACAAATAATTAAAAGCCAAAATAACCGAATGAAATAGTATTTAAAATGCTGCTCGACAGATACAATACAACTTCTCAAAAACTAATACACATTCCCAAAACCCGGAATCTCATGAAACCACAAGCCTTTGAATATCTAACAGTGTCTAACTCCAGAATGTCTAACAAAGAACATAAATATAGAAGGGCTAATACTTAAAAGCGATAATGGAAAAGGACTCCTCGGTCTGCGGACGCGACAAATATACCTCGAAGTCGCTGGAGCAGTCGCCTAGCCTCAGGGTGATAGGACTGAGTCGCAGTACCTGGATTAGCACATGAAAAACATGCACAGAAAGGGCATGAGTACACCACAGCGGTACTCAGTAAGTGCCAAGCCTAACCTCGGTCGGGTAGTGACGAGGAAGGTCAGGGCCCTACTAAGGTTAAATAAAATATAAAGTTCAACAGTGTAGAACAGAACAATATAAATAAGTGCAGCAATAAAAGTAACACCAGATATAAAAGGCAACAACAGCTATTACAGGATAAGGTAAACACAGAAAGAAATACGGTCCAACACCAAAATAACAATCGGGGATCTCCTAGGATACCATCCTGTAGTCCCAAATATACATATCCAATGGATCTCCCAGGATCCCGTCCCGTTGTCCAACTCATAGTGCGGGGGGATCTACTGGAATCCCATTCCGTAGTCCCAAATGTAAATACCTAGTACTGGGGGAATCTACCGGGTGCATTCCCCTAGTTCCATATAACTGTGCAGGGGGATCTACCGGAATCCCACATCCGTAGTCCCAAAATAAATAGACAAGGGGGAGCTACCGGAATCCCACATCCATAGTCCCAATGTGGATACACAGCAGCAACAGGAAAATATTCAGAAATGACAAATTTCATATTAAGGCAAACAAGTAATTCTAGCCTAGCATACTGCATAGAATTCAGGTAAGTCAGTTTGAGCAAGTAAGGCAATTACGTCACTTAGACATGCTTTTCTAAGCTAACAACAGGCTTAATAGTGTAAGTAATAAAAACAGGAAAGGAAACATACTAGTAAAATCATAATGAAAACCGAATTTCCAACAATTAGCACAAGTACGCACTCGTCACCTCACGTACAAGGCATTTCAATCACCAAATATACCAAATCCTAAGGGGAAAGTCCCCCACACAAGGTTAGGCAAGCCACTTACCTCGAACCAACTCAAAATCAACTCGAAATCACATTCTTGCCACGAGTATTCGACTCCAAATGACCCAAATCTATTTAATTCAATTGCATAATGTAAATAACACTTCAAGTAACTGATTTTACAATTAAATTCTAAGCTAATACGCGAAATTAGATAAAATAACCAAAATGCCCTTCGGGCCCACGTCTTGGAATCGGGTAAAATCTATATTTTCAGAATCCTCATACTCTCACGAGTTCATGCATACCAAAATTATCCAAATCTAATGTCAAAATCCCAATCAAAAGTCGAATTTTATGTCTAAGAACTTTCTTCCAACTTTTCCCCAATTTTCATCTCCAATCGGAAATTGAATGATGAAACTAACTATAGATTGATGGAATATACCTAGAAGGGTTAAAGAATTGTTACCCACTAATCTCCTCTTCAATTTCCTCTCAAATTCGCCCTCTCCCGAGCTCCAAATCGAATTTTTAACTTTTGAAACTAAACCCTCGAAATTTCATATTTCTGCCCAGCTATTACCGCACCTGCGGTCAAGGGAGCGCACCTGCGGTCTCGCACCTGTGGTCCCGCACCTGCGGAAGAATGCATCACAAGTGAGAAAAGTCACTTAACGGGCTGTGTCCCCATCTGCGGTCGCTGGGCCGCATCTGTGGTGCCATTTTTGCGAAAACCCTGCCGCACCTGCGAAATCCTGGAGCTTGGACCAAACTCGCTTCTATGGCCACTTAGCCGCTTCTGCGGTCCCACACTCGCAGGTGCGGTTATGACAGAAAACTAGCAGCTGAAGCTGCAGCTCTGAACTCCAAAATCCTTTTGTCAACCATCCAAAATCATCTGGAGGCCCCCGGGACCTCAACCAAAAGCACCAACAAGTCTAATACCACCGTCCAAACTTATACCAATCCTTAAAACACCTAAAACAACATCGAAATGACGAATCAACCACAGATTCAAGCCTAAGAACTCCAAAACTCTAGAAATATGCTTTCGATCAAAAAGTCTATCAAACCTCGTCTGAATGACCTATAATTTGTACATACGTCACATTCAACACTACAGAGCTACTGCAACTTCCAGAATTCCATTTCGACCCTCGGATCAAAATCTCACTATCAAACTGTAAACTTCAAAATTCGACCTTTCGGTATTTCAAGCCTAAATTAGCTACGAACCTCCAAAACACAATCCGAACATGCCCCTAAGCCCGAAATCACCCAAAGGAGCTAACAGAACCATCGGATTTCCATTGTGAGGCTGACTTCATACTGTTCCGACTACGGTCAACTTCCCAACACTTAAGCTCTCATTTAGGGACTAAGTATCCCAAAACTCTCCGAAACTCAAAACCGAACATCCCGACAATTCAAAATAGCAGAAATAAATACGGGGAAAGCAGATAATAGGGGATCGAGGCAAAAATTCTTAAGACGACTAGCCAGGTCGCGGGTCGTCACATCCTCCTACACTTAAACATTCATTTGTCCTCGAACGAGTATAGAGACATACTTGAAGTAGTGAAAAGATGAGGGTAACAGTTGCGCATATCCTGCTCGGTCTCCCAGGTCGCCTCCTCGACCGGCTGACCCCGCCACTGAACCTTTACTGATGCAATGTTCTTTGACCTCAGCTTTCTAACTTGTCTGTCCAATATTGCCACTGGCTCCTCAACATAGGATAGATCCTTGTCCAATTGCACTGAACTGAAATACAACACGTGCGACGGATCACCGTGATACCTCCGAAGCATCGAAACATGAAATACCGAATGAACTCCTGTCAAGCTGGGAGGTAAGACAAGCTCATAAGCAACCTCCCCAACACGCCTCAATATCTCAAAAGGGCCAATAAACCTCGGACTCAACTTGCCCTTTTTCCCAAATCTCATAACGCCCTTCAT